TTCCTGGGTGCCTTCCATCTCCGATGTTTGTCCCACAACACTTTGTGTTATCAAATCTACTGTCTCTGGTACCTTGTGCTGTATAGAAGATCAGGCTTCCTGGGTTTATAGGCTGCTGGCTCTCCGGAGCTGCCTCGTGGCTTGAAGGGGGTAGAGCTATCGACGCTAAAGGAGCGGCAAAAGAAATAGTCTGCTTCAGCAGCTTCCTCGTCTCTTTAAGTTTTTTAAGTACTTCTTGCTGCTCCATTTGTGAAAGTGAGGAAAAAGTTTCCAAACAGGCAGAATCAAATGTCTCATCTTGTACCAAGCCAATTGAAGGAAGTTTCACTTCAGCTGGGTCCAACACCCTAACCGACATTTCCTCTGTAACGCTAAATCTCCTCCCTACCTTGGCCAGCCTGCTTTCCCTATTCAGTCCACTTTCCCAAACAGCTGTCCCATGCACTGCCACACTCTCCCTAGGGGCTCTCTGAATTAGCGGAATGGCCTCACCACTAGAAAAAACTCGGGTAGGTAAAATTTGATAATAAGCCAAAAATCCTCTCATTCGCATAAGCAGGCTTGGGAAGAGCTGTTGTTTGAACTTAAAAAGAATTCTGATATAATTATCACGTTGTGGAAGATGTTCATATGCTGCCAAATCTACTGCCCCCTTGTCACACCGAGTAAGCTGTGACAAAGAGGTCACTATCTGTTTTTTTGAAGACCATCTACCCACATTTATCTCAGAATTATATATATTCAATACAATCTGCTCCTTCAATAATTGCCTGTTTCCCCCCCCCCACTCTTGTACCGTGGGATTTCAGGTCCAACCAGCTCACCATCTCTTGCTTTTTTTCTATGCTTACAGTCAATATATTGTCCGCTTGTTCTTTCCCTCGGTTGCACCATCTGGCCAGGTCGTTCTGTCTGACAGCCAGTTGAACGTACCTGCGGCTTTTTCGTCTGTGCCGCAGAAATAAGATTGATCACAGAGTCCAACTTTAAACGCACCTCTGCAAATTGGTCAAAAATGGCCAAGACTGTCTGAGAAGTGAGCATACTGTGTCGGCTAATGAAATCCCCTGTACTAACATTTAGCTGGTTTTCAAGTCCTAAAGCTAATTCACTATGGTTGTAAAACTCCGACTCTAAGCCCTTGTCCCGGCCTGGAGCCGATTCACCCAAAGTTGCTGAGTCATTTGTCGTCAAATTACGCAGAGGGGTTCGCAGGCTTCCCAGCTGACTTCCTGATTGATTCTCCTCTGCCTGCAATTCCCACTCCAGGGGGGAATCCCCAAACAATGCCAAAACATCACGGCTAACCGGCAGGGAAAGGGGGGAGGATGCACGACCCACTGTTGAGTGCAAAGGCTGGCAAAATCCGTCAATCTTCTGTTGCTTTTGAGGATTGGTTCCAACTTCCTTACTGTTTGGTGAGCAATATGCCGTCTTTCTTTTCTTCCCCTTGGGAGAGGCCATCCGGACTCCAGTCAAACACGGCTGCAAAGGTTCTTCCCGGGAGCGTCTGCAGCCAGCCAGTTCCTTACTGTACTCGTTCCAAAAACAAACAGCTCAAAATCCCCTCCGAGGTTAGGGGCCTCCACTGAGGTTTGTCAACAAGTCCGGTAATCCGAATTTCAGGCCTTGCAAGGAGAAGTCGCAGGAGTAGCCTAAGCCAGGAATGCAGGTTGTAGTATTGTTAAAATATGTCTAAAACAAACAGTAGCCACACTATATGTGCTTTGTAAAAGTCCAGTATAAATTAAAAATAGATTAAAAATGAATTAAAAATATAAAAATACTTTAAAAACGTTAAAAAAGAAAAACCTAATTTGCTTTTGGGAGAGCTCCTTACAGCCGTTGCTCACCTCCCCATTTCCAGAAAGTCTTCCTCTTATATAATCAGTCACTTCCTCCCTTAAAAATTGATTCTGTCTATAAAACCAAGAATTGTCATGATAAAGTTTATCAGTCTGCAGGAAAGAGTCTATTTGCTGCTTTTCAGTTAACTGCATAGAAGCCTCTGCCAAAACCTCTGTTTTCAACGTGGTAACTTCCATCGTGTTCGTGACAGCCTTTTTTCCCTGCTCCAAAGACGAATTAGTTTGATTTTCTTGCTCTTTTCCAGCCAGCAAATCATTTTTGTTCTCCAGATTATAATTTTGAATAGTCCTTTCAATTGATTCCAGTATAGCAGAAATATAGAAATTTAAATGTTCTTGTAAAACCTCTACAGTCACAACTTGTGAATTTGCTGGCTCATATAGTAAAGATCCTCCATCCTTGATGTCAGCCATATTTCAATTCCCAGTTTAAGTTTATTCAGCTATCAGGTCAATAAATCCAATAGTTTTCGGGGCTTCCGGTTGGCACCGCCTGGCGTCGTGGATGGTTTTTTTTGGACTGCCAGCCCAGCGATTCCGTTCAAGCTGTTCTGACAGCGCTAATCAGCTGTCAGACGGCTTAAAAACCTCTCCTTCGGGAGAAGAAGGAGAGGAGAGCCGGTGGGCGAGGGTAGAGCTCCCCGGGAGCCCCTGGAGTAATTCCAGGGGCTTGGAGGGTGAGAGCTCCCCGTTCAGCCCACTGAAGCTCCGGATCCGTGGCAACTCCATTTAAACGGAGCCAGATGCCGGCGACCGACTCTGCTGCCAAGAAGAAGATCAACTGATTTCAAAAAGCAGACAGAACGGAAGCAGGAGAACAAGCTTTTGCAAGTATATGCTTAACTCCTGGGATACATTGTTTCTATTTGATTTTGCTGAGCTGGAGCTGGAAATGGCGTCTTTGTTGTGGGTGTGAAAGTGCAAGTAGGAAATGAAAGTGCTTGTTAATAGACTTGTGCTCAGAGACTGGATTTAAACTGCTGGATTTGAGAGCTGGGTCCGGAAAAGACTATCTTGCTTGATAAACTACAAATAAATCTGAGAAAGCTGTTTGAGAGACTTTATGGCTCTGAAAAGAAAAATTCTTTTAAAATAATATGGCTTCCAAGGAAGGAGTTTCTGAAAGTGGAGGCTCTTTAATGGCGTCAGAAATGATACAGAGAACTGAAACACAGAGCCAGGAGGCTTTTTTTAGAGACGTTGCAGAATTTATAAAGGAAGCCATGAATAACCAAATTGAAATTATTAATAACTTTACAGCAATCATGGAACAAAAATTTACAGAACTGGTGGAGGATAAAAAAGCAACTGAGGATGTTTTTGAAGGAAAGCATAATGACAATGTAGGAGACATTTTGATTAAGACAGAGAAGCTGGAACTGGCTGATCCTCAAGAATCTTCAAACCTTCTTCCTGCCCTTTTGGACAGAACTTTTCAAAAATATAATTTGGAGCAGAAAGAAGAAGAAACTGATCAGTTCTACGAGGTTTTGGAGGATTTGGCAGAGGCTTTCACACAATTAATTGAAATGCAGCAACTGGATTTTTCTTTGCAAACTGATCGAGTTAATTTTTTGTTCTATGAACTGACTGTCTATACAAGCAAGAAGAGTTAAAATGGGGGCTCTAAACCAGAGGAAATGGTTTTGAGAAAGGGACAAGTCTTAAAGATACATCAACCCCCAGTTAAAATTCAAAACCTCCTCAAAATAAAAGAAGGAGGGAGGAAGAAAGATTGGAAAAAATACAGAAAGAAAGGAAGAAGGGAAGATTAATTTTTTCTGGTCTAATTATTGATGTATTAATGATTAACTACAATGATTAACTAAATGAATTGAGAGTTCAATTAATGATTAATTAAGGTTTAATTATTGTTAAAAATATTTGAATACTGAGAACAAAGCAGGAGGAATAGCCAAATGATTAAGTATGTATTATCTACTAGTGTTTGTTATTGGTTTTTTTTTAAAAAAAATTCTTAGGGCTAAAGGATTATATGTTATTTTGTGTTTAAAGGGAGGTTGATGAATAATCTGTAGAAGGGGAGTTAAGGGGTCTAGGGAGTTTTAATGTCTTGCATTGATTTAGCATATTTTAGCGTATGTTTGGTAAAACCTATACCATTTTTCTTCTGGTAAGTCGGGGGAGGGGGGAGGGAAAGGGGGGTTGCACAAATGTTTAATTAGATAAGTGATTTGTTTGATTTTTTTGAATCTTAAAAACAATAAAAAAAAATTTGTTAAAAAAAAATAAAATAATAAATCCAATAGTTTTCCACACAATTTAGAAGTATAAAGTAGTTGAGGTCAATACCATAATCTTTTTCATTTCACTAGCACTTTAAATCTTTTTCTTGCTGCGTAATCCGGTAGTTTTTACAATGTTGCAGCTTTAACGATCACTTTCACTTGTAAGTTTCATTTTAAACGCCCTTAAGTGCCATCTTTTTTCCTTTTTCTTTTAAATGGAGTTAAAGTTTAATACTTGCATTTTCTGTTCTCCTGATTTGCTCTGCCAGCATCCAGATTCGAATTTTCTCATAGTCCTTAAAATTACACTGCTGGTGTGGTTGTGACCCCTTGTTCTGCATAGAGCAGAATCGTCCCGGATCCGGAGCACTGAAGGGCTTTCAGGGAGCTCTCACCCTGCAAACCCCAGGCTTAAAAAAAAAAGCCTGGGGGTCTAGGGGAGCTCTACCCAGACCCTTCTGCTCTTCTGTCCCCCTTTTTCCCTGGGGGGGAGTTTTGAGCCGCTAGAACAGCTGATTTTCGCTGTTCTAGCAGCAAACGGAATCACGGGACTGGAGCTCCTAAAGGAGCATCCATTCGGGGAACGCGGAGCCACCGGAAGTCCTAATTGTAAAACTGTTTTGGAAACATTTTGTGTATATGCTGATGGCAAATACAAGATTTTTTAAAGGACCTCTAAATTTAATCACATATTTATATATATAATGTAATTATATTTTCAATGAATTTAATTTGTGGAGAGAAAAGAGAAAAGTGGAAGTTATTTTTGAAGCCATTGTTTCATATAATTCTTTATTTTAGATTGTTATTTCACTTTTATTTTTAGTCAACTTAAGGCAAAGTATATACCTAATGCTCTCACTTTCTATTTTTTCCATAACAGCCACCCTGTGACGTTGATTGTGCTGGGAGCATAACTGAATCAAAGTAAACAAGACAGCTTTCATACCTAAATGACAATTGTCTTGTTTCTAGCCCTGCACCTTAGCCACTCCACAAAACTGGCTTTGCAGTTTGTTGGTTCATGAAGTGTTATGATATTTTTAATGTCTAAGGATATTCACTAAGGATATTCACAGGTGTAGGCAAGCAGGGCAAAAGACAAAGCACCGAGTACAGTAGCACAGTACAAGCATCAGAATGTAAGTCAAGGTTTTACATCATGACATCACACTGCACCACATTTCCTTGGTTCCAACATCCTGTACCAATTTGAACAGGAAATCTGTGACCCCTTTTAAAACTAGAACTTACTCTAATAACCCAATTATTAGCTATAATATACTAAAAATGATGAAAAGATCCAAATATTAAGAAAATGTACTAATATTAATGAAAACTTCCCAGCCAAAATTGTCTCAACAACTGTAATACAGAGAAAATGCAAATGCCACAAAGGCCGTTAAAAAGAAAAGGAGGAGGTTTTAGATCAATCTGATCTGTCCTTAAATTACTGTGGTTTTTTTAAAAAATGAATCAGATTCATTCTAAAAATGAAGGGAATTTGATTTATTCATAGAATTCACTAGGTGTTTTGATTATTTATAAATATATTTTCTGCTTCCTTCACTGTTAGGATGCAATTACTGTATATTATCATTATGACAAAATAATTAACTCTTCTGAAGACGTGATACAGTTTTTTCAAGAAGACTGAAAAAGTTGTATTGTTTAAAAGGGATCAAGTTAGGCTAGAACCTAATATGCACTTATTCAGATATAGATAGATAGATGGGTGGATGGATGGATGGATGGATGGATAGATATAGATGAAATAATTCAATAAAAGTGACATTTTCACGTAGATGGGTCCTGCCATGAACTTTGACAAAATACACAAATAGTATTATACTGCTTAATTAGAATCATCACCAGGTCTCAGTTGCTTAGAGACAAAACCTTTCATTTCACTAAAAGTAAAATATTACAGGTAAAAGAAAAAGAAAGAGACTAATTTTAAAGTACAATGCTGTGAGTCAGATTGGAACTCTTTTGATTTATGCTACACAAATTACCGGCTCTTTCTCTGAGTCTTTTTTATAATTAACCAACTCCTCACTGATCTATGAAGCTGGCAAAGCAAGTATCTCGTTTCTTGAATGGCAATGAGCTGAAACATACATTATAAGGAAGAAAAACCAAAGCTTCTGTTATTACTGCATAACAATTAGTAGAAACCAAAAAGGAAATACATCAGACTTCAGACACAGTATAAATGCATCCACTGAATTGTTTCCCCATAATACATATGTTTTACCATGAAAAATATTTGGAAGAATGCAGGCATGTAATTTCATGACCACTGTCTACAGATTGCCTTGGTCAAAAGCATCAAAAACAATAACCAAGATACTACAGTCTTCCTGATACATTAGATATTAAGCTTGAATCATTTAAAAAAAAAAAAACCCTTTAGTTTGAAAAGTGTGTGTGTGGTGGGTGGACACTGCTAAGGAAGGCCAAGAGAAAAAATTGGATCACCCTTAAGGCATTATTTTTTCTTGTCCTAGGTATGCAGAATTATGATGACAGAATGTTTAGGGGGCATGTTAAATCAAACAGTACTTTAGAAAATATTGTGGATGTTTGGCAACAATAGGATGTTGTAAACCATCAGCTTCAAGTGTCATATGGAAAGGACGATCTAGTGGAAATTGGCTTTGGCTAGTAACCTTAGGAATTATCTTGTCAAGCTTATGTACATCACCTGAAAAGTATGTTTAATTTGATTGAACTGAACTAACCTCAAGATAAATCGATAGACTACCGTCCCACCACCGAATGGTCAACTTTTAAATAGATTAAACAGGTGGCTGTACCTGATAAATTTTCGAAGCACAAGGACCAGGTGTGATTAGTACTAATAGAATAACAGTAGATTACACCAAGCAATTGAGAACTTATAATAAAGTAGTGGCAAGGCATTACCATACTATTGCAATAAAAATGATATAGATGTCCTAGGAATCACTACAAGATAAGTTCAACTCAGACTCTATTAAATTGCTAAGGCTATAAACATACCTACTTATATCTTAAAATATTCCTTCACATAATGATATACTGAAGCTGTATTTCATTTCAATAATAACACTGTGGTGCTCTCATTAATACAGCTTTTACAATCCATATTGACATATGATGTTCCTTTGAAGATTTTGGAATAGAACAGCTGCAATAAATGCAGCTATAGCTTGAATTTCATTGCTTTTACAAAAAATATGATAACGTTCATTTATTCCTCTATTATAAAGCATTAAAAGATGTTATAGTCCAATTGCCAGAGTAAATGAAGAGTGTACATCTTGTGAAGCATTATCTTTACTTAGTTCATTTACTAAGCAATTTTCTACAGTCTGATCATTTATAACAGACAGTAGAGAAAATGAGTAGGTGCCAAATTACATAGATGTCATGCAGAATTTTTTTAAAAATGGAGATGCTAGAGCAGGCATCCTCAAACTACGGTGCGTGGGATGGATCCGGCCCGCCGATACAATCTATCTGGCCCGTGCACAGTAGTGATTAAACCCTGCCTCTGCCCCACCCTTCCCAGTGTCGCCCTTATCTTCCAGCCCACGGGTGGTCTGCTCATTTCTAAGGTGAGGCTGAAGGGCGTGTGCTGGCAGGTGGGCACCGGGTGGCGTAGGGGCGATGGCAGCAGCGCAGCCACATGGTCCCTGGCTGCCCCCAGCAGCTGTACTGTGGAGAGTCCGGGTGGAGATGCGTGCTGGGGGAGGGACTGAGCATCGTCAGCCTCACCTTCCAGCCCACAGGGCTTGCAAAGTTCACCATAGCTGTGCGCAAATGACAGGGGAGGGAGACACGCTCTGTGCTCACTGTACTCGGCCAGTGGGCTGGCGGGTGGGAGAGAATGGCAGGGGCGGATCCTGTGGGGTGAGGGCCATCCCCCAAGCCTGGCCTTCCTCCTCCCTTGTCGGCGGGGCCAAGAGAAAGAAGTGCTCCTCTCACCCGCCAAGCACAACAGCCCAGTGTGGGGGAGGGGGCGATGGCCTGGCAGAAGCGTCCCCATTGCCAAGTTGGTGGCCCAGCTCTCACAGCGGAGAGAATGGATAATGTGCCTTTCCTGGGCAGTGATGGCTAGGGGGGGGCAGCAGAGGCATCAGGGCTGATCCCCCCCTCAGAAAGCTGGGCCTAGAGGAACTCAGAGTTGAGGGAGAGCACCAGAGGGTCAGAAGAAGCGTTTCCAGCATGCGCTTCTCTGTCCCAAAATAGGATTGAGTGGGTGGAAGGGAGCAGGGGAAAGGGTAGAAGCCTGGCTGGTTTTCCTTTGGTGTGGGGCGGGGGGAAGACTCAATACCCCCTCGATGCCTGCCCGCTGCTCTCAGCGCCTTGCACAGCACAACTAAAGCTAGCACGCTTCACAATGGGGGAGACTGGATTCCCTCCTTCTCCGGGAGCCCATTCCCTGCCCCATTCGCTCCTGGCAGTTCTCTCTCTCTCTTGGGGCGGAGAGCAAACCTGGAAGTAGCCGCCCACTGTTTCCTGCCAGTCAGGCAGAGAGAATGGATACTGATGGATACGGATTTCTATCGTAGCTGCTTTCATGTGAATTGTATAATGCTCCTTCAGCCTTGGAAATAACTCATGATACCTCAGCACTAAATGTAGTTTATTTATTTATTTTATTTATTTAATCTAATTTTTATTCCGCCCTTCTCCTGAAGGACTCAGGGCAGTCCACAGCCAAGAAATAAAACGAACACATATATAAAATTAAAAGCAATTTAAAAAACATATTAAATAATTTGGCCCGATATAATTAAAAAACTAAACAATCCATTAAAATGTTTAGGCCAGCCCAGCTTGTTGGAACAATAACGTCTTGAGGGCACGGCAAAAGGTGCGTAGGTCAGGGATCATCCGTATCTCTGGGGGCAATTCATTCCAGAGGGCGGGTGCCCCCACAGAGAAGGCTCTCCCCCTGGGGGTCGCCAGTCGACATTGTTTGACCAACGGCACCCTGAGGAGTCCCTCTCTGTGGGAGCGTACTGGCTGGTGGGAAGCTATCGGTAGCAGGAGGCGATCTCGTAAGTTATAGGAATATATTGAACTAGAGCAGTGGTGAAATGTAAAATTTGTTGTTACCGGTTCTGTGGGCATGGCTTGGTGGAAGTGGCTTGGTGGGGGAGTCATGTGATTGGGTGGGTGTGGCCAATTAAAAAAAAACTTTTTAAAGCATTTTTTTACTACCAATTCAGGCGAAAAGGTAGTTAAAACAATGCTTTAAAAAAGAAAAAAAAAGGTTCTGAGGATTGCGTGGCACAGCTGTGATCGTCGGAACCTTTTTTAAAGCATTTTTTACTACCTATTTTCACTACCGGTTTGCCCAAACCGGAGCGAACCGGCAGCATTTCACCCCTGAACTAAAGTCATCAATCATCTTTATGTGTCTGAGATGTGGGTTTCTAGAGGACAGAAGGAAATAGCTTCTTTGCTCAACAAGTAATATACAAATCAGGAGAAACGTTTCAAGTATCATGTTGCCAGTCATCTCCAATACAATGTATTTGAGAATAGTAATCTTTTCATTGACTTTATTATAGTACATTTATTTACTTCATTTGTCACTTTGGTATTCCATCTCAAGCCCCTCTTCTGTGATATGCAAAATTAAACAAAACATCAAAACAACAAAGGAACATAGAAGATTTTAAATCTACATCATAAAATCATGACCTAGTAAATGACAAAAAAAAAACAAAATCAAAATCAAACAAAAATGAAAGTGAAGATGAAAGTACAAAGAATAGAAGAATAGATCTGCTTTTTAAATCTCATTCCACAGATATTGTTGATTCATTATTTTCACAGTACTCAGTTGCATGTTTGATGAAACTGGATTCTTTGAATGGCATTTTACATTTCTAAACATTCCTCCTAAAAGCTACACTAACAAGATTAGATTGTACAAGATTAAAATGCATCAATTC